TGATCTCTTCCAAGGGGGTTGGGGACAGACGGGCTGAGAAGACCTGGCATTTTGAGAAGTGGGAGGGGTTGCTGGCCAATGTGATGCTAGCTGGCCCAGCTAAGCCCATCTGCCCCCACCCCCCACCCAAGCTGGCAGCAGCCACTTAGCGGGCTCATTACAGCCATCATCTACTCTGGGAGCATCTCCTAGCTTGGGTCCCTCTGGTCAGTGCGTTCTCAAGCAGAGTCTGCTGCCATCTGGTGGTTTCCCACCAAAAGATGGGCGTGGAGCTGATATGGCCTGCATGGGTCAATGAAACCCACGTTTTCCTTTCGACCACTTGGGCATCTCCTTCTCGGTGTTCTAGGGTGCTCAAGATACTGGTGGGATGCTCTCACAGCATCTCGGCAGTCATGCAGGGGCATTTTGGTTTCTTTTTTGTTTCTTACCTTTCTCTGTATCTCCAGCCCTTAGCACAGTGCCTGGCACATGGTGGGTGCTAAATAATACTTGTTGACCTGACTTGCCAATGTAAGTAAAGCGCTGAAAATGTACAAGTGCAAGATGAAATGTGCAATGTGATCATCTGGATGTCTGCTTTGCGCCAAAAGATTAAGGGAAACATACTATATGCCCAGATGAAAACATGCATAGACAAATCACTTGCTATTCTTAACATGGGGGAATGGGGCTATTCTCCCAAGTGAATACAACTTAATGGTAACTCCATTAGCATTTGAAAGTTGACGTCCATATTTTTTTTCCTTTACCCAAAAGAAAACCTTGAGAATTTAAATGCTATCTTTGCATTTGGGGGTATGCAAAAGAGGCAGCGTTGTGGGCCTGCCAGGCTCAGCTTTTCACTAATCTTCGGTGTAATCTTGGTCGAGTCACTTAAACTCTCTTCAGCCTGTTTTCTCCTCTATACAAAGAGGCGATTCGAAGAGAAGATCTCTAAGGCCCCTTCTAGTTCTGACCAGTTTATGAAAATGCTGCATAAAAATTAAAGCCAGATTATCCAAGGGAGGGAGGAGAGAGCTTTGCCCAGAGCTTTCCACCTACAACTTTGGAACTGCCATTTGAATTGATGATTCCATTTGCAGAAGGAGGGAAAACTCTTTTCCATAGAGCTTGTTAGTCTATTTGCTCATATTAAAACAATGGTTATGGTGATCTGCCCACGGGAAACATGCTCTGTGTGCTATTCCTGCAAAAATTCAGTGAAGAAAATTTTCAAGAGACCTTGTATCTCTGGTCTTCCCAATTTTTCCAATGTAACTTCTACCACATTCATTTCAGAGCCGTGGCTCTGCTATGCATCGCCTTAGTGAGCACTGTCTGAAAGTATGTTTTAGTCATTTCCTTTCATCAGAAATAGCATTATTTTTAGTTTGATTGGTTAAACTTTTACACAACAGAGGGTTAACATTATAAATGATCTCTTCTCTTGGCAAGTCATAGAATCGAGTAATGAGGTGGATCCCATCGCCTTTTCTTATTGACCGTAACTAATAGAATTCCGTGTGTAATTGAGGGGACTACCTTACATTCAACAATTTGCTTTTACTTTGATAAAAAACATTTCCTGGTTTGTGTGGCTTTCACTCTGCAGCTTGTAAATAATTTCAGGAAAGTTCAGTGTTGAAAATGAGATCTTTCTGGTTTTATGGCGAAATATTGGTTCAGACCCACATCTCACACGATACACACAGAAGAAAATCAAAGCGTCTTGGTTGTCTACATTTTGTCATCATAAAAAAACTGGAATGTTCTTTGAGCACAGTGACTGTCTTTCTTTTCAGTCTTTGTATCACCAGAATCTAGCAGGGTGCTTTGCACATAGTAGGCATATAAGAAATGCTTGTTAGATTGAATTGGAGAGGAAGGACTTTGTTTTAACCAATCAAATAGAAGAAACCATTGTAGAAAACCTGTATGGATAGGATTATATATGATAAAGGGCTTTGCACAATGAAAAGCTGTCTCTTTGAAATGAAAAGAAATAGATTGGGGGAAAATATTTGAAGTGAACATAGCAGGTAAAGGTCTGACTTTCATGATTTATAAGGAACCGATACATATCTCTAAGAATAGAGACGAATACATGCTCCTCAATGGAGAATGAGAAGGAGCAATCTGCTAGGTGGAGAAAAACCAGGAGAGCAGCAGCATGAAAACCTAGAGAATAGAGCATCCAGAGTATGAGGGTGACTGACATTGTCAAAAGCTGCAGAGAGGTCCAGAAGGATAAATAATGAGAAAAGGCCATTAAGAGATGATTGGTGACTTGGGAAAGAGCAGTTTCAGTTGACTAAGGTCAGAAGCCTGTCTATAGAGTGTTAAGAAGAGAGTAAGAGGAAAGGAAGTCACGCTACTGATTGCATGTAGTTTTCTCAAGGAGTTTAGCCATGAAAGGGATAAGAAATATTTGATGATGTGGGGATGGACAGATCAAGTGAGAATTTTTTTTTTTTAAGCTAGGCAATGGGGTTAAGTGACTTGCCCAGGGTCACACAGCTAGTAACTGTTATGTGTCTGAGGTGGGATTTGAACTCAGGTCCTCCTGGATCCAGGGCCAGTGCTCTATCCACTTCGCCACCTAGCTGTCCCAAGTGAGAATTTTTTAAGGATGGGGGAGACATGGACATGTTCATAGACAGCAAGGAAGCACACAGTAGACAGGGAGAGACTGAAGATTAGTGAGAGAGTTGGGGTGATAGAGGACAAATCTGCTGAAGATGGAATAGAATGGGATTACTTGTACATGCCTGCCTTGGCAAGAGGGACCTCTTCACATGGGATAGGAGTGAAGGGGGTGTCAATAAGGGGAAGGCATTTGAGTGATGTGAGATGAGGAGGGGAGAAGAGGGAGCTCTTGGCAAATGACTTAGATTTTTTCAGTGAAATATGAGGCAAGATTCTTAGCTGAGAGGGTGAGGGGAAAGGAGAGCTATGGGAGACTTGAGGAGGGATGAAATCGTTTGGAATATTCATAGCGGTGAGTTGGATAGGGAATTTATTAGAGAAGTGCAAAAGGATGGCCTTGTTGGAGTGACGGCCCTAGTTGAGATTACGTAACATAATTTTGTAGTAAACCCATTCAGTGTGGTTTTGTGATTTATTCCAGCTTTGTTCAATAGCACATGAACAGGAGCGGCAGTAGAGGATGGTGGGAATGATCTAAGGCTAGGGATTAGCGGGGCAAGATTAGCAATAGGATAAGGGGAAAAGCGACAAAGGAGTATAGTGTAGAGTTGAACAGGTTCACCAAAGGGTCTTGATAAGGAAGGGGAAAGTGTAGACAGTATAATGGTAATGCCCTGGGAGAAAACTGAAGGGTGAAGGAATTGAAGATCATGATGAGAATAAAGAACAGGGTTAGGCGCTGGGAGGCAGAGAGAAAGATGGAGGGAATGACAAAAAGATTAAGATCAGGTAAAGGAATTTGAGAATTCGCAAACATGGAAGTAGAATACTTGTTTGTGGGTGATGGCAAAATTAAGAGTTTGACCATTTCAATATGTAGCTGAACTGAGGCAGAGGAAGAGCTTCTAGGAAATGAACAAGTTAAGGAACTGGGACGTTAGAGGGAGGTTCAATATGTCTGTTAAATTCTCTAGTACGAGGTCAGGAGTTGGGGAGGAGAGAAAGACTGTAAAGCAGGCATTGAACTCATCAAGGAATGATATTCCTTCTGAATAACCCTAAATTCCAGCTAGTAGACAACAGCCACCAGAATCTTAATTGGGTAATAAATATGGATTGAATAAGCCTCAAAAGAAGAAAGGTTACTGAGTGATAGTAGTAGAAAGCCTAGAAGTAGCAATAGGGAATAAGGAGTATTCTTATCCTCCTACCATGGCTGATGAGTTTGGGGGTGTTGGGGGTATCAATGAATGAAAGAGAAATTAGTGTTAGAAAGGGTGGCCAAGGAGGCCCTGTCATTTGGAGGGAGCCAGGGTTCAGTGGTTACAAGAAGATGGGAGAGGTGAAAAAAAGAAAAAGGTTTATTACTGATTACTTACACATTTCAGAGAGCACAGTAGAGGGGTGAGTGCATCTAGAGTGGGATTTGGTGACAAGGGATATGTGTGTGGGGGGGGATTATAGAGGATGGGAGTAAAGAAGCAGGCAGTGGGGGTGGGGTGGGGAACCTAGTTTGTGTACAATGACAGTTGGGGGGTTCAAAATAAACGAGGAGAATAAAATGGGGTTAGGGTTAGGTGTGCTAGTCACTGAGGAGTGAACTCAAGCAGATTATCATGGAGAGGGGGTAGTCTGTGAGGGTTAACCAGGAGAGCACACAGAATACTGCAGTCCAGGCAGGGCCCTCACCAAAAAAGGACCAATCTGTACAAAAATATTTATAGCTGCTTTATTTGTAACTGCCCCAACCCAGAGACTACAATTGGTGAACGGCTGGATAAATTCTGGTTAATGTAATATAACGTAACATTATGCCTGCATTTACAAAAACAGGGTCATCTAGAAGGCAGCAGGCTGGATCCGACCATCAGAGACCAGCCTGGCTGCGTCTGAATCCTGGCTGTGACCTTGGGTAAATCGGCTTATCTCCCTGGGCCTCAGTTTCCCCATCTGTTAAAGGAAGGGGCTGTCGCAGATGACCCTAGAGGTCCCTGCCAGCTCTACATCTAGGGCCCTGGGGGAATCAAGGAGGAAAGCGGTAAGCGCTATCGGGGGGGAGAGGAGGAACAGAATCAGCAGAGCCCCAGCCGGTTCCACATGGGCTATTTGCACTTTGCACAAAATGTCGCCTAATTTTCAGGCGACACAACCGCTCGATCGGCTCGCGGGAGGAGGGGGGTCGCAGAGCGCGCCGCGGCGCGCGCCCCGCCCCCGAGGCGCTTCCGGCTACGCCGCCGACGCCGCCAGGAAGGCTTTGTTGTTAGCACCTCATTGGCTTACTGGGCTCTAGGGACGCCTGCGCAGTGAGTAGGGTGGGGGCCAGAGCCTCCGGTGGATGACGTCACGTCCGGCCACTCTGAGGCCGCCGAGAGCTTATGGCTATGAAGTCCGTTTTCGTCACCGTGGGCACCACTAGTTTCGACGAGCTCATAACCTGTGTGTCTTCGCGGGCTACTCTCCAGGTGAGCGAGGTCGCTTCGTCAGTCCCTCTGTGAGTCGAAATTTTTCGCGCCCCCCCCCTTTGCCTGCCCGCCCGGCCTGCGCCGGCCCTGCGCCTGCGCCCACTGTCCCCCAAGGCGCCTCCGCGGACCCGCGGACTGCAGGCTTGCCATCCGCCCCTGCGCCTGCGCACCCCGTTGTGTATGCCCCCCCCCCCCCGCCAGCCCCCGCCAGCCCCCTCTCTCACTCTCTCGCAAGCCCTGTAGGCGAGCGACCTCCCCTACCCGCCCAGCACATACACATCTCCACTTTCCCTCCACTGATGCCCCCGCTCGAGACTGGCACGGGTCCCGTTCGGGCCTGCTGTTGCGACAAATGGGTCCTTAGACACCATCGAGGCCAGAATCCTCATTTGACCGAGGGAGAGGCACTTGACGTCCCCTAGAGACCAACTCTCCCATTTTACAGAGGGGAAACTGAGGCCCAGGAATGGAGAATGACTTACAGTTCCAGCTGGTCAGGGCCAAATGCCACCTTAGAGATTAATCGTCTAATTCAACCCCCCCTCATGTGACAGATAAGGAGAAAATGAGGCCCAGAGATGGACCATAAGATCATAGGTTAAATGAGGAAACTGAGACTGAGAGAGGAATAGCTTGCCCCAGGTTACACAGATAGTAAGTGTCCAAAGTTGTCTGACTCCAGAGCTGACGTCCAGGACATCACCTGGACGTCAGACCCTTTGACATCATCTCATCCAAACTTCCTTTTCAGAAATGTCAGCTGAGGCACACAGAAAGGTACCAAGCATCAAACACTCAGCACTGACATCAGCACCCCGAGAAGCCTGTGAATTAAAGCTTTCGTTAGAAATAGGAGGAAACTTGAAGGTGAGGGTTAACCTAACGCCACTTTGAGTAGCAGAGCTTTGGTAGCCCAAGTTCTCCAGTCCCAAATCTAGTACCCTGGGTATTACACTAAGAGAGATTTTTAAGAAGTGAAGCATTTTGAACTTTTAAATCATTATCACTTACTAATGAATGGCCTCCCTGATAACAGGACTCTGTCGAACAAAGAATACACTACGATATCTGACGTGAGTGGTGGCAAGCCAAAGCCGAATCCCAATCACTGCTCTGACTTTCTTTCCGTTGTCCCTTTCCTTCAGGAACTTGTGACTAATGGAGTTATGACCATTAAGTGTATGAAGTGCTACAAAGCCCTTTATAGGAGTCAGCCCAGAAACGTGGGCTTCAAGAGAGTAATGGAAAGTACCTTTGCTAGTTACTACGTAAGGGGCCGTGGCCAAATCCTCGGCCCTACCTCAACTTCCATTTCTTCCTCTGTATTACTAGAGGGTTGGAATAGAAATTCAGGGTTTCTTAAACTTTTTCCACTTGTGACCCCTTCAGACCCCATATGGGGTCGCCCCACAGTTTAAGAAGCGCTGGACTAGATGACCAATATGGGCCCTTGGAACTGGAAAGTCAGTGAAATCAGCCTCTCGGAATCTTGGTTACTGGAAACCTGATAGTGTGGTGTAGTGGATAGAGAGATGACCTCAAAGCTGGGAAGACCCCGGGTTCAAGTTCTGCCATTACATGTGCTGATTGTGTGCCTGGGGACAAATCACAACCTTTCAGGGCTCTAGGAACCTTTCTAAGGGTACAAATTGCCAACAAGTTGCCAAACTTCTTCATCTGGAAGTCCTCCAACAAAACCACAGGTTTGATCCCGCTCCCTATCCTCTCAAACCTGCCGCTAGGTGGCGCGGCAGAGCATAAGACCTGGAGTTAGGAAGACCGGAGTTCAAAACCTGCCTAGGTCATTTGACTGGCTGTGTGGTCCTGGGCAAATCACTTTACCTTTGTTTCCCTCACTTTCCTCATCTGCAAAATGAGGATAATAATAATAGCACCTACTCCCCAGGGTCATTGTGAAGATCAAAATGAGAAAATCATTGTAAAGTGCCTGGCACAGTTAGATGAGTGTAGACCCCATCTGGTGCTATAAAGCTGTTAGCTATTTGATGATGCTGAGCAGATTTCCAAGTAGCCTTTGTTGATTTTTCTGTTATTTTAGATACTCAAGAGACTTGGTTATCGAAAACTTGTTCTACAGATTGGCAGAGGCAGAGTGGTACCAGACTCCTTCGCTTCGACATCTTTTTCTTTGATTGTTTATAGGTACAAGAATTCCTTGAAAGAAGACATTAAAAGATCAGATCTTATCATTAGCCATGCAGGTATGGCCTCTTGGATTTAGAATCACAGTGTGCAGAATTAGACTAGAAATCCAACGTCCCTGATTGATTTAGGCTTTTGATGAATAGCACCGACATAAAGAAGGGATTGGCAAACTGAGGAAGGTCCCTGAGAATGTTACTCATGTTTGTCCATTGCTAGGAGAGCAGTGCGTAGGACCCCAGCTCCCTAACGATGTTAGTTTCCGCATATGGAAACAGAAACGCAGGAAGCGTGACACGCCCCGAAGCATTGCATAGCTAGGTGTTAAAATGTCAGTGTGCAAGGATTGTAAACAAAGAGGACTTGATGTTGGCTATGTTAATAGAAGCTTCTAAGTTGAAATGCAAATTCTGCATTCGAAACATGATGCAAGCTTGAAAATACATTTTGGAATTGATTTTATTGTGAACAGAATTCAGTCAATAATAGCATGAAAGTTGTCCAAGTTTATCTAGTCAGCTGGCTTCAACGTTAGGAAGACCTGTGTTCAAGGCTGCATCTGCCATTTTACTAGCTATGCCATCATAGATAGGTCACTTGATGTCTTATTGCAGCAGGCGGTTTTAGACATGTTGCTAATCTGCATGAGTGGAGGGAGTTTTCCACCTTAGGAGTTCCCCAGGCTGCTTATATCAAGATGAAATCAGCTCTGCCTTCTTCTCCCCTCCCACCCTGGGAAATGAGTGTACATTATTCTGAAAATAGTCCTTTAGGGGCAGCTAGATGGCACAGTGGATAGAGCACTGGCCCTGGATTCAGGAAGACCTGAGTTCAAATCTAGCCTCAGACATTTGACACTTACTAGCTGTGTGACCCTGGGCAAGTCACTTCACCCCGTTACCTCACCAAAATAATAAAAAAAAAAATAGTCCTTTGAACAATGTTGTAAATGTGACAGCTGGTGGATAGGGTAGGGGAAAAGATTGTCTTCTTTCATTAGGTACCTTTTTTCCTGCAGTTTTAAGGGGGGAAATTTATCTGAATGGGGATTGCTAACAGAAGTCAGGGATTTATTTTACAAATGAATGATGACCTATGTGACCCAGCTCTTGACAGAGGGGATGGATTGAAGCTGGAAAATGAGACATATGTTTTTGGATATGGAATTTTGATTTTCTTTATTATGCGTATTTGTTACAAGACTTTTCTTTGTCTTTATTTCTTTTACACTGGGGATGAAGTGAAAAGGAGAGAAGATAAATGCTTGTTAATTAAAAAAGAAAAGAAAAATTTTAAAATGTCTGCAGAGCTCCCCTCCCAACCCCTCATCCCCTGTTCAAAGAGTGATTTCTAAAGTATGGAAGTTTCCGATTTGACAAGTGGAGTTATCCCTCATCTCGTCCACATCTCACGTCCATAAAGGTCTGTGCCGCTGTCAGGCACTGTATTTTGGAGAGTACGTCTCTCCAAAGAAGTGGACAAATGGAGGACCAGCCCCCCTGGGCCCGGGCTCCTCATGCCTCCCCTCTCCTCTGTCTTCTTAAAAGGGTAAAGGTGGGCCTGGGGCCTTGACCATCATCGACCCAAACAGAGAGTCAATCCCCAGAGAGAGGCTGTTGGTGTTTTCCTTCTTTGTTTGTTTTTCTCCCCCATCTCCATGAAATGAATGTGTAGGACTCGTATTTTTCTGCTCTTTTGCTGCAAGACAGGTGGAGAAGAAGCTGAACAAGCCACATTGTTTGGAGTTTGGATTTCTCTTTCTAGGTGCAGGGAGCTGCTTGGAGGCCCTGGAAGAAGGGAAGCCCTTGGTGGTGGTCGTAAACGAAAAGCTGATGGACAATCACCAGTTAGAGCTGGCCAGACAGCTGCACAGAGAAGGGTATCTTTTCTATTGCACATGCAGGTAGGTGGCAGGCTGGCCCTGACTCTTTGGAGGCCTGTGCTCATTTGGCTGACCACTGCTGCTCCCCCCCCCCCCCCCGCTTCATTGAGCTGTTCCTTTCCTGCCTGCCCAAAGACCTATCCACCTTACTCCCCAAAACCCTATACCGTTAACATACTTCGAAGTAGCGGCTAGGTGGCACCACGGATGGGCCTGGAGGCAAGAAGACTTGAGTTCAAATCCAGCCTCAGACATTGACTAGCTGGGTGACCTTGGGCAAGTCATTGAATGTCTGCCTGCCTCGGTTTCCTCAACTGTAAAATGTGGGATCCCAAGAGTACCTACCTCTCATGGTTGTTGTAATGAGCAAACAAGAGACTGTAAAGTGCTTAGCACAGTATCTGGCACACAGCAGGTGCTGTATAAATGCACGCTATTTGTATTATTGGTGCTTTGGGCATACGTCTCTGTGGATTGGGAGATGTGTGGAGATGTATGGCTCTTCAGAAAGACAGCCCTGTTGGATGTTTTGAAGGGGGTTTTTGCCCTCCATAAGCCCACTAGGGCCCCTGAGTAAATGCTAATGTGCTTCATTGCAACAGGCGTGTTAGAATTTGGGGCTGGCTCCTATGATGACAGCATGCACTCCTATTTAAATTGGGTGAGAAGGAGAATGGTTATTGAGAAGGAGAATGAAGACAGTAGCTGTCACCTATGTTGTGTTTGGAGGCTGGCAGAGGGATTTGTGTGTCTTCGAACCTGCCGCTCATGACAGCCTGGGGAGCTAAGTGCTCCATTTTACAGATGAGGATGCTGAGGCTTGTCCAGGGCCACGTAGCTAGTCAGTGCCTCCTGATGCCAAGTCCCTTCCTCTGGTGTTCGTGGCACTCGGCCTCTGGTTAGGCTTCATGATGGAAGCCTAAACAAGGCCTTGATTCCAAGGTTTCCTGCTAGGAAATGATGAAAGCTATATAAAGTAGTAATCCCCAGCTTATTCTCCTGTATTTCTCGGGTTCAGCACTGGACTTAGCACAGTCTTGCTCCGTCCTGCCTGTCTCCTAGGAAACGCATATTATATTCCCATAGATGTTCCTTCAAACTTCCCAAACCCCCAATTCCTCAGCTTCCTTCAGACTCGGCCTGCTTCTTCTCGCCATCTCAGCCACACGTAGGAATGGTCACCTGCTGGTTCTCCCCATTACCCACAAATTCCCATCTCTGCCCAGAACTTTCTGTTTTTCCTGTGCCTCACCCCAAGTACTTTCTTGGGCCAGTACCCCTGCTCCGACTTCAATTTCCTCTCTGTCCAGTCTCAGCCCACTCCCTAGCAAATTCAAATCTGTGCTGTCCTCTGTTCTTGAATCCTTTGCCACCTCTGTCCTATCACGAGTCTTCTCTTGCCAAACCTGATCTTTGGAATATTCCCATCATCCACAGGACAAGTGGCTGAAGGCAGCTAGAGGATGTCTCACAGTCATGCCAGCTGAGGATGTTTCAGATTCATTTATTTAATCTCAACTGGGCCTTCACTTCGGAAAGTCAGGTCTTTGATTCCTCGCTGATTCTCTCTCTCCTCCCAGAATTTCTTCTAGAGCTTTGCTTCTTACGCTTCCTCTTTCCCTTCCATTTTCTGCTGAGAATTTGGCCTCTTACTTTACTGAGAAATTTGAGGCTGTTTGCCATGAGCTTTCTCTTTTCCCCTTCTCTCCAGCACAAGTCTCCTGGGTACCACTGTGTAATCTTGCCTCCTTTCTCTGTATGGACCCTTCATCCCTTCCCCTTCCCTCTTCTCCAACAGATTGCACCCTCAATTATCCTCCTATCTCTCTACACCCTCCTGCCTTCAACCATGCACAAGTCTCTCCCATCCTTCAGAACCTTTCCTCGATGTTCCATTTTGTCCAATATCTCTGCTCCCTTTCTCAGCCAAACTATTGGAAAATGCTCTCTGCACTCAGTGCCTCCACTTCCTCTCCTCCAACTCTCTCCTCAGCCCTTTATAATCTGGCTTCCAACCTCATCCCTAGACTGAAACTTCTCTCCCAAGTCATTGGCGATCTCTTGATTGCCAGATGTGATGGTCTTTTCTTGACCCCTGGGCAGCCTTTGCCACCATTGTCTGCCCTCTCCTCTTGGATACTCTGCTCTCTGCCTTTTTGTGATGCTATTCCCTCAGGTTCTTCCTCTTTCCATCTGTGTCTTCTCACCTCCTTTGCTGTTTCATCATCCATATCACCCCCTCCCCCAACAGTGGGGATTTCCCAAAATTCTGGCCTCGGCCCTCTGGTTTTTGACATTCTTTGTCTTGCTAACATCATCAGTTCTCTACAAAGTGTCCCCAAAGTTTGAGTGCAGTTTTGAGCTCTGTACCTGAAAACCGTGTCACATATGTAGCCATACAGCTTAAAACCACACTCAGACTGTGGGGACCTCCTGTACACATCTCTCCAGCCCCAGTCTCTCCTTTGAGCTTTGGTCCCACATTATCAATTGTCTGTTTCGCATCCGGATATTTCTTTTAACTCAGTATGTCCAAAATGTAATTTATTTTCTTTCCTCCTAAACCATTTTCCAAACTACACACTTTCTGTCAAGGGCACTACCATCCTTCTCGTCCCCTGGCTTTGTAACATTGGCATTTTTGTGGACTCCCTTCCCCCCTCACATATCCAGTCACTTGCCACGTCTTGCCCTTTCTACCTTCCTGCCATCTCTCCCGTCCAAACCCTTCTCTCCACCTACACAGCTATCACCTCTCGCCCAGGTTATTGCAACAGCCTCCTAGTGAATCCCACTGCCTCAAATCTCTCCCCATGCCAGTCCTTCCTGCACACTGCTGCCATCAAAGGAATATTCCAGAAGCACAGATCTGAGCATGTGACTCCTCTGCTCACTCAACCTCTTATTGCCTCTAGGATAAAAACCAAACTCCTTTCGTTAGCTTTTCTAAAAGCTTTAGCCCTACACAACCTGCACCAAACCTCTCCCTCCTGTGCTTTGTAGTACTTGACAAACAGACCATCTCTTTCTTCGTCACATGCAACACCCAGTCTCCCATTTCTGTGCCTTGACACTGGCCATTGTGTGATCTAGAAATGGCCTCCCTCCTTACAGGCTCCTCGCAGAGGCCCTGAATTTCTTTAGGATAGAGATTAAGCTCCATTTTCTACATAAATCCTTTCCTGATTCCCCTGACCTCTAGTTAATCCTTTCTTCCATATGACTTTTTTTTTTTACCTACTCACAAATGGGCATTTGTTTAATGTATTAAAAAATCCAAATATGTACTTTTCATATACGTATATTTGTTTAGCACAGTGCGTGGCAAATAGTAGGTGTTTAATATATGTTTAGCATTATGATATATACATTATTATATATACTAGCTGTGTCCGCTATGAGAATGTCAATTCTTTGTTAGTTGGCTTTATGTAAGCCCTTGGACTGATATCCATAGTACCTATCACTGCGCCTGATGATGAGCCAGCACTGATTGATGAGGAAATTAGCTGGTTTCTGGAGAGCGAGGTCATTTCCCACCTCCTTTGAAGAGTTGTTCTTCCATGATTTAATTTTTTTCTGATCAACCGTCCCTGAAAATCTTATGTAAAATATGTTTCTTGTGGTATCAATAGTTAGAGGTTCCGTGGTTCTGTTGATGTGGGTTCTCTCTGCACAGACCAGGATTACATTCCCTCTGACTTAGAAGAGAGTCTTCGGGAGTTCCCTTAGCCCACCTAAGGATGGGTCTGCATTTCTTTTCTGAACATTTTCTTGTAAAACTTCGGTACGCCCCTTTGGCAGGCCTGTACTCAAAGCCCTTCTTCCTTGGTAGTTTAAGTGTTATCAAAGACGGTAAATTCAAATCACTTAATTTTAGGAGATTTCATGAACGCCTTAAAAAAATTGTCTTAAAAAAGAAGACAGCCCGAGGTGTCGCCAAACCCAGATGGGGAGTCACTGGGTTGGAAGCTATTTAGACTTCTGTCTTCCTAAGCTTGGGGAATGGGGGGAGGGGAGAAGGGCGGAGGTACAGAGAGCTGGAGGCAGAGCTCACTGCTCCAGTTGGCAGGGGGCAGGGCCCTCAGCGTCTACTTGTCGACAGATTGGGGATCAAGTCTCTTGCAGAGACCGTTAGTTAGCCCTCGTTGATGGAGTGGGCCAGGAGAGATGGCGGCTTTGCCAGGCTGAGTGAAACAGAGGAGGAGGCAGGAGGAGGGCCTGGCAGATCACTCGGTTGGCTAATCCTTGCATAGGAATGGAGTGTGCTTTATAGATTAAGGGTAAACCCAGGCTGACATGATTCTATAAGAGGAAATTAACTGTCACCTTGTTGATTTATGCAAGTCCACTTTGGCTTATGAGAAATTCAGCTGCCTTGGGCTTGAATCTTTGTCATCCAAATGCTAACCCAAGGATTGCACCTCAGAGCCTGAAAAAGCTTTTGCCAGCGAGTTGGGGTTTGTAGAAAGTGAACTGACTTTCCTGATTTACAGAAGCAGTCTATGCACAGGATTGAGTCCATGTCGACTGGCAGCCTGCTCCAAGTTTCCCCAATCCTTTCCAACTCCTTCCAGTGTCATCTGACTGAAATAAAAGCCATCAGCCCTCCTTGTATTTTCTTGCCCAGAGGCTGATGGATTTTAGGCATGGACAACAGGCGTCTGTGTCTCTCCTAATGTATGTGCCTCAGCTACATTCCTCCAAGTGTTTGCTTAGGACGACCCTGGAATATCACACTTGTGGCAACTGGAATCCAGACATGCGAGCATTTTCATTTATTTTATTTATTTAGTTTTGAAAATAGTATTTTATTTTTTCCCCAAGTTACCATGTGAACATTTTTTGAAAATGGTTTTAGCCAAAGGTCACCATTGAACCTCAATGAAACTCATTAAATTTGCTCAGCAGCCACTGAAAGTCATTAATTTCTGTGCAGAGACCATCACAACAACTTGGGAGTCGCCCCTTTGTCCCGGTCTCCATCCTCACTTGGTCTACTTGTTCTACTCAAGTGGTCGTAGTTAGGGTGGAAGCTGTTTTTCTAAGTCTGACTGCTTTTTCACTTTGCATTTTTTTAGAAAAGTCTTTCCAGGTTTCCTTCTCTTTATACCGGGTTATGTTTGTTGCCATCCTTACCCATTCCCCCATGTTGGCCATTGAGGGTTGAACCCCCAGTTGTTTATAGTTATGAATACCATGTTAAGATTTTGATGTTACAGATAGAGAATAGAATTTCTCAGGATGGAAAGAAAGTGGGATCAGAACCCTAAAACTCTGTTCAAATCTAAGAAAAAGAATAAAACAAACCTAAGAAGATCCTGGCAAGGCATAATTGTTCAGCAGTCTGGTCCCATGTGCCCCCGTCCCCTCAAATCCAATTCTCATCATGTCGTCTAGCCGTGTCATTGGTTTTATTTACTGCCTTTCCACCAATTTCCCTTTTGACTGTCTTGGTTTTTACCTACTGTTTCCCGAGGGTAATTCCAAAGCCATCAGAGCACAGTGTCCTGAGGCATTGACCAAGCCTCATCTTTAACCAAAGCAGCTCAGCGGAGGCAAGTGAGAAACGATGTGTTGGATTGACATGGAGGGGCTAGAGAAATAACGGTTTTCTTTTTGATATGAAACCAGACCTTCCCTAGTGGGCGCTCCCAGTGTATGGAAGCAGAAAGCCATGGTGAAATCTGTGGTACAATTTGAAAAACCCCAGGACTGTTGGTGAGAGTTCGGTGTTGCCGCGGAGTGGGCAGCAACTGGGCTGTTGGGTGGCTCCTGTAACCTAATGCTTTGCTCTCTCTTTTTGTTTTAGCACCCTTCTTGAGCTGTTAAAATCAAAGGACTTATCGTCATTGAAACGTTTTCCTCCTGGCAAGCCAGAGATATTCTCTGAATTTTTGGATCAAGTTGTGGGATTGAAAAAATTAATGTCAACCTCTCAGTCTCAACCTTTTTGACCCATCCATGGGAAAACACATAGATAGACACATAGCCAAGCCTTCCTGGACAATGCACTCCTGTCTTTACTGTATTTTTACAGTATGACACGTCCTTAATAAATTTTCTACATCTAAAGGCTGCATTCGAAGTTCCTCGTGTGAACATTTGTAGATGTTCGCTCAGATTGTTCTAGCTAGTGTTGTCTTTTAGTGAGTGTGTCTCATCGGGCACCCCTGGTAGCCAGACAGACACAGGGCGTGTCCGTATGGGAGATTTTTAATGCCTTTTGGCTTTTGAGAAACAGTCTGTGGAGCTTGACAGTTAGTGTCCCCAGCGATGTCCAAGGAAGAGAAAGCCAAAAAAATTCAAAACATGGGTGCTCATTCACCTAGCTTGGTTCATAACCTCCCAACTCCCTCCATTTTACTGTGAGCTTCTGCCTGTCATGTAAGCCTCTGATAGACAATTCATCCTGGTTTGCCAGTTCCACAAGCCTTTATTAAGGCCAGCTATGTGTCAGGCACTGTTCTTCACGCGGGGAATACAAAGACAAAAAATGACCTAGGCCCTGCCCACAAAGGGCTCACCTTCTACCGGGGGTGGAGATTTGGGAAGGGGCACAGCATCCACATTTAAGGCAGAGAGTAATGGGGCCCTTGGGGAGGAGCAGAGGGCTCTAGGAACATCTGAGGAGGGAGGTCACACTTTCAGCTGGGGGAATGAGGGAAGGCACCAGGAGGTGTGAAACCTGAGCCGAGCCAAGCCTTGAAGGGAGAGGAGGAATCTGACAGGCAGGGCTATAGAGGGAGTGCATTCCAGGCATGGCACAGGGCATGCTGAGGAGCAAATGTAGCAGGAGCAGATCAAATTGCCTGGAGGCACTGTGAGCCCTAGAAGGGTTTCAAAGATGAGCTTCCTCCATTTAGTACTGTAAGCCTTGGCTGTAGCAGAGAGAAAATAGAAAAAATCAGGCTGGTGGGATTGAGTGCTCCATGCAAATTCTGATGTTGGGGAAGCCATTCACAGCAGAGTCTCATTGAAATCTCCTAGAGAAAGTAGAAACTGACCTTACAGCCCTTTCCTCCAGATAGATTTATATATAGAGATGGGGAAACATGCCTGCCTAATCTCTCCAAGCATGGGGGGCTTAGGGAGGGCTGGAATTCAGTCAAGTCCCCATTCCATACACTTATGGTGAGCACTAGTAGATCAGATCATCTACATTTTAAAACATTTTCCTGGCAGCCTACCTAGTATTCCATGGCTGATTAACTTTCCCTGTTAGGGGCCCATGGTGAACTCCATTGGCCTTAGGGAGTTCCACACTGCTGGTAGAATGTGGTAGCTCAGAAAACTCATGGGTTTCAGGGGGAAACCAAGCAAAGGATGTGCCATGAGATCCATTTACCCTAAGGAAGAGCAGATGGTACTGCAATTCTGCATGTATTTTATGCCCCTGTTTCAGGAAAAGTGCTATCCTGAAAATGGAAAGAATCAGTGATTCTGGACCCTCTGGATCTAGGCATTTTCCATTACAGAAAGATGGTGGCATGGAACTCAGGTGGGTTGCTCAAATTGTCATAGCTCTTTGATGTGATCTTACAAGATTGTAAGACAGTAAACATTTTCCTGATTTCCCCAGAAGGGAAGAGAACAGAGTCTGTATACCAAAGACCAGTGAACTTGACTTGTATCCCTGACAAGATTGAAACACAGATTATTAAAGATCTGGTTGATGAACATCTGGATAGCAAAGCAGCGATTATAACTCATGAGATTGTGAACCTGTCTGTTAAAAGGTTAGCCCCTCTATTATACCGTGAGCCCCTCTATTATATGGTGAGTCCCTCCATTTTACTGTGAGCTCCTCCATTA